CTTGTTTGATCGCTTAACAGCTCTGGCTCTTCATTCAAGCTACATTTGGAGTGGGAGATCTCTGCAATTTATTCAAATTCAAGTCTGCGGTTTGTGTTCCCTCCTTGATGATTCAGCATTTTTGAACTGGTGAAATAATTTTACAACGATGGTAGCTAAGGGATTTTTAAAAATGTATCATCATTGTCTCTTGGCCAGTCATGCAGTGCACAGGCAAAACTGCACCTCCATAAATCTTAAATAATATTTGCGCTTTCCAAAGAAGGAAGCATTATCCAAACAATAGACTTTACGCTAATCTATTCCAAGATAGGTGGACAACATGAATCAGTGGTGCAAGTAAAATAAATGATAATTTGTAGTGCATTTGAATTCCTAATTAATGATACAATAAGTGAGTACGAGTGAATGTAAGTATGACAATTCAACTTTCGCATAGTGGCAAAATAGTTATGATCTACTTTGCCACTCATCCGTGTCCAACAATGTAAACAAACTACTATTTAACAGGTCTTCAAAAATCAAAACCATTCAATGTTAGGGCTTGGTTTGTTTGCAGAATTGACTGTTGAGTGATAAAGATTGTGGAGACTTTGATTTCGTATTCAATTGCATGATCTCACACATATCTGACTGCTGATTCTCGTCCGGTTAACTCCTCCCTTGTCATGGGCAAAAATGAGATCAGCTTTTGTCCGTCGTGCAGATACAACTCAAACGAAAGCTTTAAGTTAAGTTTTCTTGTAAGATCAATGCACAAAATCTCTTGATCAAACATGTTAATACAAACGTAAAAAGTCTCCAACAATGTTATTTCAAGAGATTGTTTAGAATCGCAATTGCTCTTTGGTCAATTCCGATCAGAGACAAAAGTTGTGGACTGCGCAACTACCTACCGTGACCCGGTGGAGTCGAGAGGCGGCAATTCGGTAGTCCAGTCTGCCAATCAACTCCAGGCTTGTGGGCGACAACTTTGCGTCAATCTCGACCAATTGCGTCCCGCTAGACGTAGGCCGTTCCTCACAGACTGACTTGGCTTCTGCGTGACTGCTGAGGCAGATGAGCAGGCGTTCAGACAGGTTCTGTAGACATTGACGATAGGCGGTGAAACTGGTGTCATAACGTCGCCAGACGGAGGCTGTGGCTTCATGAGTGGAAATGCATTTCTATAAGAAGATGAAAATATGAAAAAAGTGGAAGCATTCGAAGGTGAGCTATACTTCCTTCCAATATAGCATAAACTAGGCTCTGTCAAATAAACAGCTCTGTTAAAGGTTAAAGTTGATAAAACAAATGGGATTCGAGTCCTCTCGTTTGGTTCGACGTTCTCATCTTCAGGAGGATGAACTATACTTTAAATCGATTTAGAGATAAGACCAAGGCAATTACAGCAGACACAAATGAAGCACTTAAGGGAAAAATATGACTCATTATTGCCTCCAGAACATTATCTCTTAGTTTCATGTCCGAATAGGACACTAATTATCATAAAAGCATTTTATAAACTAGGCATTCATTGTGCAAACGGCTTAGAAATATGATTTCGATGAGGCCATGACAGGCATTGAATGAAATTGCCAAAAGCCAAATTAAGGTGGTATCTGTCCCGTCCTGAGCTATTCATCTATCCTATATCGCGTGATCACCTCTTCAATATCACAATTTCTTACTTTGTGAACCTATTTGAGACCCATTCATGCAACCCGCTGGTTCCCACATCCCCCCACTATGCTGGTAGTGTTGATCCAAGCCTGCAGATTAGTCCGTAATGCTTTTCCTTCAGGTATTGTCAACCTTCCTCTTGCTCTGTGGGATCCTTTCCTAATCTGCCTGTTTCAGTGATCTCATTCTATCGCTGCCGCCGTATATATGCTTCTAGAGACGTTATGTTCAACATTCTTTCTCAAGCCTTTGATAACACGTATCCTCAGCAAACACATAAAGTCTGGATTCTCAAGTGGCATGACAACTTAACTTGACGATGCAGACTCCCTTAACACTGTGCGACATGTGCACTAAGTACATCCCGTGG